TGTTGGAGACACGCAGAAACTTCAACACCGCCTCATTCCTCCGATCCCATGAGCCGAGGGAGCCGACCACGAACGGCGTGACTACCACACGGTACCTTTCCCGCGTGAGGGCCTCAGCAAGAGGAGTGTACTTGGTGACCTTCCTCGCTCTTGCTTCATCGAACGCCTCACGACGGTTCTCGAAGAGCACCGTGACGTCAACAATGATAATCGACCGCGACTGCTCGTGACGAATCACGAGGTCGGGCCGAAGACTCGCCAATTCGGGATCGACCCCCTCGACCCGCTGGTTAATTCGGACTTCACCTGGCAGTCGGGTGGACCTAGCTAATCGTAGCAACAGGTCATCGTGCCTGAGCTGTATCGCGTCGGAATGGACCCCACAATGATTGATCACGTGGGGAAGGGTCTCGGCACTTNCTCCGCACCGCCGACAACGCCCATCGCCCTCCTCCCACCGACGTGCGCCGTTGAGCGGCAACACGTCGAGTCGGGCTCGGTGCAAGAAGCGCCAGTCGGCGAANCGGGTGAAGCTGCCAGTACGCATGAAGTGATTGCTCACTCCATGACGCATGGCCACCTCGAACACCTTCCCCTGATCCTTTTTGGCGAGCAATGTGCTCGTATAATACGACGCGATAGCCAGGCGTAGTGCATGGATGACCTGCGAGGTGATTTCGTTGCGGACGGCCTCCTGCTGGCGACGCCCCCCGCTGATGTCCTCGCTGTCCCGTCCTTCGGGGAGCGGGGGGGCGCACGCACCGGTCTGGCAGCTCCGGAAGTCCTGCTGGGCGCGCTGTGAGCCCGCCGCATTCCTATGGCCTCCTGCGGTGATGGTGTTGCGGCGGGCGATCTCGATGTTCTCGATGTACCTCCCCCCTTTGCTGTGTAACTTCTAGCGTAAGATGGTGATGGGGAGGGAGGGCGGTGCGCGAGCGACGAGGTGCCGGCTCTCCTGATTACGCTGCTACCCCCACTCGAGGGGGTAGATAAATCCGCGACCGTGTCTCTCCTCGCGGCAGTGGTCCTCCTCGTCGACGCTTTCTTCGGGACGGCCCCCTTCGATGGTCCCGGCTGGGGCACCGTCCTCGCAGCCGTCGCTCTCGGCGGCCTCATGGTTGAAATGGCCGTTTCTCCTGCTGTGACGGCTGCGTAGGTGGGGGATGGTCCTGTCGTAGGTGGTGTTGATGATGGAGAGGGCCCGCTGGGTTGAGTCCTAGAAGCTGGGCGGGCCCTCTTGGTGGCGGTGGTGGTGGCGCGTGCGCCGGGTTGCCGCGGGTTCACGGAGGGATTTCGTTTTGCGGAGGGATTTTTATTTGTGGTCGGGGCCGCTGACGACGCGGAAGATGGCGCGGCTCCAGGTTCGCAATCTAATTTATTTTGACCCGCCTCCGCGTCAACCGGGGGTTGGGGGTAAAACTTTTCAATGTGTAATTTTACATCTTTCTGCAGGTACCTCGTTTTCCCCTGTACCCGCAGAATCCACATTTATATCCGATACTATCCCCCGGGTGGTCCTTTTTTAGATGTTTTGCAAGATGAGGCGGGTCTGCGAATGTTCCCGCGCGCACGGAGGGACGCAATTGGTCGCTGTTATGGCAGCGCGGACAAATTACGCGCGCGGGAAGCGGGATCTCAATCACGATTTCCCTAGGCTCGGCCTCTAGGGACATTTTCTGAACGCTTGGCACAGTGCCTGTGCGGATTCGCCTTAATGGAAGATTCGGGGCTCTACCGCTCTGCGTCGCCTCGGTAGGCGACGACAACGCACCTGTCACACGGATTTATCACCGGACAACAAAAACAAGGTAAGTATAATAAAAAGAATAAAAAAATAAAATAAAATAAAATAAAATGATCGACTGGTGCGCCCGCAAGATGCAACGCAGATGCGCGGGTGGAGTGGACGTACTAACCCAGAGGTGCCTGCCGGATACGCCTCTGCGCACGAGTGTCACCAGCCGCAATCTTTTTGCTATTTATGAGGGTAATTTAATATTTGTTTATAATAATATGTATATGGTTGGGATCGGGGGGAGCGCGCGATCCCAACTTACCGTATATTAACCCTCTATTAATTATTTAAAACGCTAAAAATGTTAATAATGCTCCCCCTGTTTATTGTAGGTTATGCGGCCTGGTGACTGTCAGCAGAGGCGTGGAGATGGACAAATAATGTAAGTATAATAAAAAAAATTGGCAGGCACCTATTGCAGGCACTGTGCAATAACAATAATCCCTGTAAATTGTGATTTTAGAGATAGGCGAGCGGAAGGAGTACTGCACAAGACAGGAGTTCTACGACCACACCTAACCTAACCTGTCAAGGTGCTGCAGATGGAAATTGCTGCAAAAATGTGTTGTTAATAATAATAGTATCAGGAGGTGGGTGGCTGGAGTAAAAATATAGCGTGTAAAATGTATAAAATATTATTTCACCGACTGTAAAAACAGCTCTGCACACGGGTAGAAAAATCAAAGTGTGCAGAGCAATGTATTATAAAATAAATAACTTTTTTGTCAATGAAGTAAAACTAATTTCCACCTACTCTCCCGCAGCAGCAGCACCAAGACCTGTATATAAAAAGGGAAATAAAGGAAGGCAGGTGTAACAGTAATAATTTTTATTTTATTTAAATAGTTTTGTCCGTAACGGACAGAACTCCTGTCGACACAAAGACGATGACGCAGCACAATTTGGATGAACACAAATTTACACCTGGCAGGCGACACACACGAATAAAAATAAAAAATATAAAAATAAAATAAATAATAAAACGGACGCGCACAGCAATAACTAAATAAATAACAAGAAAAATAATATATAAATAAAAACACGCACACGCAACAATTATCCTGCCAGGTGTCTCACCACGCCTACCCGGAAAATCACTTTTTCGAAGACCGAGCAGCCTAATCCTGGAGCCGAAAAACTAAAAAACGAAACTCACTTTATGAAAAATAACTTTCCTCCTCTCCTGGACAATGGGAAAACACCTCCCCCGGGCCTCCTGAGTAGTCGCACAACACGGAGAAAAGCGCACACGCGGAAAACTTCTTTTCGAGAAATCGCTTTTCTCGAAAATCGCTTTTTGAAGCCCGGAAAGGCCTCACTGGCTATAATACAGTTATATTAAACTGATTTTTGGAAATGTCTTTTTATTATTCAATGCTGGGCCAAGCCCGGCGGCACTGCAAGACCGGGATGACCCGCGACGGAGCCGGAGCAAGCTACGGGCGTCCGTCCAGTTCCAAAAATCAGTTTAATATTCTGAGACCGCTTTGCGGTCTGTATCAGATATTAAGCTGATAAGAACAGAGTAACTATAGTTTATTTTAACAATTAATGTTCCCCGGGGGAATAAGCTCCCCCGGGGTGAAATACAAAATAGTGTGAGGGCGACATCTGCCGCCCACGCTCGCGCGCAAAATGTTAAAATAAAAATTGGCCGGGGACAGAACCCCCCCGGCTAGGGGGCGCAATGAAACTCCGTGAGAGGGGGCACATGCTTACCGTCTCCAGTGAGGGGTAAGATGCACCCCCTCATCACGGTTCGAGTAATTGCGATAAAATATCGCCCCAACTAACCGGCTGAGGCGATATTCACAATGTGCGCTATTAGTTACTTGTTGTACATATGTACAGGCTCCCAGGTCTAAACGCAGCGGCTCAACTATACCAAGAACCTGGGAGCAGCAGCGCGGCTAAACTATGAATAATAAATTGCAGTGTTACTCTGTAGCATGCGTAAAAGAGAAAAATCGATAGGAGAATCGCATGCACAATAATTATTAATGAACAGAATAAATAAATAAACGCGGCACACACACTCGATTAAAATACAAAAGTAATAATACGCGACATTCACACTTAGATAAAATACAATAAAGAAGTTCGCGGCATTCACACTTGGGGGCCCGCATAAAAATAATATAAACGTCAAAAAATAAAAATAAAAAACAACGAAAAGCGCAGTCAATACAAAAGAATAAAAAGATAAATGTCATAAAATAAAAATAAAAAAAAAATAAAAATAAATTGGCCCAAAAATAACTTATGTGACACACACACTCGTAATACATTAGACGCACAAACAAGAAAAATAAATAAATAATTACAATAAATGGGAGAGGAGGACCCTACGCCTGGCGCCCGCGATGCGCCAGGATCGCCATCTCCCGCTCTCCGTAACGACGGCGAATCGCTCGCGTNTTGTCTCGGAGCGTTCCGCCGGGTGACCGAGCAGCCGCCGCGTACTGCCGCACCCCGGAGACGTGCTCCACGTAAATGTCCCGCGACCAGCGTATGGTATCGGAAACCATGAGACGGCGCATCAACGCTGCATACGTGTTGGAGACACGCAGCAGCTTCAACACCGCCTCATTCCCCCGGTCCCATGAGCCGAGGGAGCCGACCACGAACAGCGTGACTACCACACGGTACCTTTCCCGCGTGAGGGCCTCAGCAAGAGGAGTGTACTTGGTGACCTTCCTCGCTCTTGCTTCATCGAACGCCTCACGACGGTTCTCGAAGAGCACCGTGACGTCAACAATGATAATCGACCGCGACTGCTCGTGACGAATCACGAGGTCGGGCCGAAGACTCGCCAATTCGGGATCGACCCCCTCGACCCGCTGGTTAATTCGGACTTCACCTGGCAGTCGGGTGGCCCTAGCTAANCGTAGCAACAGGTCATCGTGCCTGAGCTGAATCGCGTCGGAATGGACCCCAAAATGATTGATCACATGGGGAAGGGTTTCGGCACTTCCCCCGCACCGCCGACAACGCGCATCGCCCTCCCCCCACCGACGTGCGCCGTTGAGCGGCAACACGTCGAGTCGGGNTCGGTGCAAGAAGCGCCAGTCGGCGAAGCGGGTGAAGCTGCCAGTGCGCATGAAGTGATTGCTCACTCCATGACGCATGGTCACCTCGAACACCTTCCTCTGATCCTTTTTAGCGAGCAGTGTGCTCGTATAATACGACGCGATAGCCAGGCGTAGTGCATGGATGACCTGCGCCCGCGCTTCTGGTGGGATCTTCACCAGGTTACCCCCCGTGCCGCGACACTCCAGAAGAAGCTCCCGCGTCTCTTCCGCCCACATCCAGCGAATCCGCAATCTGGAGGACTGCCGTCTACACGCGTTTCGCGCATCAGACCAAAGGGAGCGCTCTCCACCGTCGCGGAACTTTCTCTCGAGCGAGCCCGAGAGAAACGAAGCGATGTCCTGCTCCGTTGGTACTGAACCAATTCGCCGCTGAACCA